TATTATAGTAAAATATATATAACAAAATTTGCCAATTTAACCATTTTTAAGTATACAGTTCAGTGGCATTAATTGCATTCACAGTGTTGTGCAATCATCACCACCATTTATTGCCAAAACTTTTCATCCCCCTCAAACAGAAATTCTGTGCCCATTAGGCAATAACTCGTCTTCCTCCCATCCGCCCTGCCCCTGGTACCCTCTAATCTGCTTTCTGTCTCTATGAATTCACCTATTCTAGACATTTCATGTACCAAGTGGAATCATACAATATTTGACCTTTGTAATTGGTTTATTTCACTTAGCATAATGTTTTGAAGGTCTATCCATGTTGTAGCATGTGTCAGAACTTTATTTCTCTTTATGACTGAATAACATCCCATTGTATGGATATACCACATTTTGTTTATCTGTTCATGTGTTGATGGCCAATTGTCTTTTTTCCCCCTATAGGCTACTGTGAATACTGCTGCACTGAACATTAGTGTACAAGTATCTGTCTGAGTCCCTGGTTTTCTGTTTCTTTGGGTACATACCTAGGAGTAGAATTGCTAGGTTATATGGTAGGAGGAGCTGGAGGCACAGTGGTTAAAGCGCTCTGCTGCTAACCAAAAGGTCGGCAGTTTGAACCCACCAGCTGCTCCACAGGAGAAAGATATGACAGTCTGCTTCCATAAGGAGACAGTTCTACTCTGTCCTATAGGGTCACTGTGAGTTGGAATCGACTCAACGGCAGTGGGTATGGTAGGTCTGTGTTTATCTTTTTGTGGCACCATAGTTGTTTGGTTTTCAAACCTTGAGTAACTGTGCTTAGATTTTAGCAGACATTTGCCTTTTAAGCTACTTATTAACCAGCTTATTCATTCCTCAGAGATATTCGTTGTTTTCTTGTTTTTGGAGTAATTTAAGGGAGAAACTGTTACCCTAATATCTGACTTACATTTTTAAAGAATGCCAAATGAAATAATATATATAAACCATAGTGCCTGACACACATTAGCTGCTCAATATATCTTGGGTATTATTATTACTGCTATATATTATCATCCCTTTGAGAGAATACAAAAGCATAGCAAGAAAAGACTAGTAAAGTGGGTGAGTTGAATTACACATTTACTGATTCAGTGCTTATTGATCAACAAAATTCTTTGTAAATGAGAACCTTTGTGGAGTTAAACTTTGAAGTTTAGATGTTTTTTGGCAGAAAATGTGTCATGAAAAAATTTAGATGAGAAGCTGAATAAGCAGCTAGAATGGAAGCTAAGAGCAGTTGTCAATAGCTGGCTTCAAGTGGATTTAGAGTCATCGGCAGGATTAGAGTGCCGAATAGTGGAAGATGCTGTCCCTGCAAGAAATCAGAAACTTGACCATTTAATAACTCATAGACCTCTCCGTTGCTAGACTGAAAAAAAAAAAAAAAACTCAACCTAGAATAAACTGACATTTCCATACTTGTTCCAGAAAAACCGTGAAAAACATTTTTAAAGACTTTACGAAATATATCACACCAGTTTTTAAAGAGAAACTTAATTCTTTTATAATGTCTGATCTTTTATCATTTCCTTCCTTTTATCTTCTCTGCATTTTTGTAACTTTTTCCCCTTAGCTTCTTAAGATGGATGCTTTGATGATTCTTGGGTTTTTTGTTTTTCCCCTTCTATGTATGCTGTTTAGGCTATCAGTTTCCCTTTAAGTACTGCTGTAACTGCATCCCACAAACTTTTATATGTCATGTTGTTTTTGTCATTCGGATTAAAGTATTTTCTAATTTCCACTATTGTATGTGTTGTTTTGACCCATCATTTATTTAGAAATAATTTGCTTAGTATCCAAACATTTGGAGATTCTCTAGTTGTCTTTTTGTTACTGATTTCTAGTTTACTCCACTGTGGTCAGAGAGCATTCTGTTCATGATTTTTGTCCTTTAAAACTCATTGCAACTTGTTTTTTGGCCCAACATTTGGTCAGTGTTGATAAATGCTTCATGTGCACTTGAAGAACATACATATGTTTAGTTCTTGAATGCAATATAGGACAGTTAGGTCAAGGTTTTTCATTGTGGTTTTCAAATCTATATCCTTGCTTGGTTTTTTTCTCTGTAAGATATTTTAAAATTATTTCCAACTACTGCCTTGACAGCGATGGGTTTTTTGGTTTATTTACCATGGATTTACCTTTTTCTCTTTTTTAATTTTTTCAGTTTTTACATCGCACATTTTGAGAATATGCTATTAGGTACACACAATATTTATATCTTCTTGTTGAACTTTTTTATCATTGTGAAATATCCTTTATCTTTAGCTACACTGGTTTCTATCTTTTGGGAGATAGGAAGCTTTTTGTTTAATAATAAGAGGATTTAAAATATCTTTAGAAATACATCTACCCTTAGAATTTCTTCAGAAAGATATATACTTTATTTCAGGCTATATCTTAAAGTCAAGTCTCGTTGGAGAACACTGTCATTTTCATATAATATGATAGAACACATTATGTAAAGGAAAAATTACGAATTTATGGTTTAAAAATCTATAGGAATGAGAACATAAGACAAATGATCAGATATCATGATTTTATATTGGGTATGATTAGTGATCAGAGAGATTTTATGTGGCTCAGATTGAAGATTGACTGAAAAGTTAGGAAGTATTTTGGGAAGGGTTCGTAGATATCACTTTAAAAATTTAATCTCTTAATACCTTTTTGTTAGATTTCTTTTTCCAGACATTTCTTCCTTAGTTCATGAGAATGATTATGTTGCCAAAAATGACCACTTAAAGCAAATATGCTATTCAGTATTCAGTTTAACTTAACTTGTAGTTAACAAATGGCTGATTGTAGTACTCAAGCTTAGAATTAGACGTTTGTCCTAGAGTTTAGATTAGAAACTTTTTGTACCCAGGATGTCAATTTTTTAATTTACAAGGTAGGAGTGGGAGAGGCATGTGTTTTTCTAGCGTCATAAAAACAAATCCACTATGAAGATCTGTATTTAACATGTAATACAGACAACATTTGTTTCATTTAAGTTAGCCTCTAGATTTAATGCCAGGGATTAGGAAAATATTAGTAGTGGATAAAATCAGCTTCATTTCCGTACTATTTGTAATTGCTTTTAAAATATTTCCTTGAGCATACTTAAATTCTAACATCTATAAAGTTGAACTATTGATTTAACATATTTCTTAACTTATTGGAATAGTGACATTTTAAAAGATATAAATACTTTGCTTTAGTTTTGAGTTTTATTACAAGGGAAATTAGATAGAAGTGAGGCTGTTGATTCTGGATACGGAAGTGATG